TTTTGGAACCATCAGAGGATAGGAATACTATTTTGCAGGGAGCAGAGGTGATCTGTTCATCCATATGCTCCACTTTAAATGTCCTAGGAATTTTGTGTCCAGTCTCTGGACACAAGAAAGGACCTGGAGCTGCTGAGGAGGAAGGCCAGTGATGGGCTTTGGGGGGAAAGACCCCTGGACATGCCTGGAGACACAGTAGAAGGGTCCCCAGGGAGTCAGCAGTTGCTTTAGAAGTGACCAGAAGTCCTCAACTTTGCCTTCAGAGTTTTCTTCCCATCAGTGTCTTGATCTTAGGTCTCTGTTGTTTGTACCATGGCCAGCCCCACATGGAAACTTCTGCCCCTTTTAGGACTCCTTCCTTCCTTCCTTCCTTCCTTTCTTCCTTCCTTCCTTCCTTCCTTCTTTCCTTTCTTCTTTCCTTCCCTCTCTCTCTCTCTCTTTTTTTGATGGTGCTGGAGATTGAACCCAGGGCCTTGTGCATGCGAGGCCAGCACTCTATCCCCAGCCCTAAGGCTTGTTTCTTTAATACTGTGAACTAGAAAGTGTCAGACTGGACTATATAGAAGGAAACTGACGTACAGGGAACAAAGCCCTGGAGGCTAGAGTTCGCAGTGGTGGTGGAATATCTAGCAAGGCCTGGGCCAGAGCCACCAGTTGAGATCCTCCGATTATAAGAAGTGAGGAAATGTCTAGATTGCCTAGAAAAAGGCTTTCAACACAAAACTCTACAGTGTGATAGAAGTGGGCCTTTCACAAGTTTCTTACAAGATTTATATAATGAATTCTGCATACTCTATAGATAATATAGTATAGGAATGGGATACAACATAAAGTCATATTGGGGACAATATTCTTTCACGAGCAAGGGGTTGCTTAGGACTGTGTGATGCTTTCATTCAGAATTAAGGGCAGGGACATTGGGATTGAAGCTCAGCATTTATTTGGCTTCAGATGGTTAGTCCAGGCTTGTCCTTGTAACCACCTTGCATACCTGTCAGCAACTGGTTCAGCAATGGGCATTATGAACCCTCTGCCTCCTATCCCCCCATGGCCCGCTGACCAGAGGGGAGATAGCTGGAACAGTAAGACACCTGTGTTTTGGCTATTCTTCTAAATTGTCAGGGAGAAAGATGATACCCATAAGGCAGGGCCCTCAGGGTCCATGGTCGAGTTCTGGAGCTGCCATACCTGCAGACTCCCTGTATATGGGATTCTGCATTTCTTTATGGTTTAAGCTGGATTGTTACTTGCCACCAGGAGCATCTTAAGGGACCCAGATACCTTTCCCAGAAGGGAACACTGGACCAGTTGGGCCCCTACCCCTTAGGAGAAGTCAGACACATGTGAATTTAGGGATCTTAAGCCTGGCCCATTTGGGCCCAAGAAGTCATTGCCTGCTGCATTCAGATAACCCTTTTAAAATTCTTCTCTGCTAGGTTAGGCATATGTGTATGTGCATAGTCACAGGTAGGCATTGAGTTCAATCACTATTACTTAGAATAAATCTAAGCTTCAATCTTATAGTTCCATGTAGAAGTGTTGACTGAGCCTGGATTTCTATGCCTCCAAACTTCAAACTCTTTGTCTTTCACTTCCAGGCAGAACCAATTTCAATAGAGACAGGAAACCTCTATGTAGAAGAGGACAATGGAAGAAATTGCCACTTAATCATCACCCACATTTCTTCTTGCCTGACACAGCTCTCTGTCAAGGTGTGTATGTGGGGTGGCTCAAGAAACAACAAGAATGACTCTCTCTGAAGGCCACTGGCCACCACTTTCTGTTCAATCAGCGTTCCCCTGACATATTGCTTACCAAGGCCACTTTCAGCCAGAACTCTGCCAGAGCATCTGACTGGTTGCTGCACCTGCTGTTTGCCAACAGCAGAATTGAACAGAAATGATATTCTCGGAAGCCCCGTGACAAGGTCACTAACTCCTTACACTTGGTATACTCTGCACATAGGTCCCAACAGGACTGCAAGAATCTAGATCCTGCCTCACAACCTGTGGGAACTTGCTGGTTGGAGGGAGGACAAAGCAATCCCATTGCCCCTATATGCTTGGAAGATCTTGCCAAGGAAGAAGACCTTGAAATAGGGGTAGAAGACTTACTGGAGGGCTAGTTTCCATGTGGACATTAGGGGACAGGAATGAGTTCTAGAGGGCTCCTTTTCTAATAAAGTCTGTGCTGTGAGCTTGAAGCCAGGAGTACAGCAGGGAGCCCTGACCCTCTTCTGTAGAATTAAGAAAGGGAATCCCTCCCACTGAGACCTGGGAGGGACCTCATTTCTTAGTATCCCTCCCCAAAGTATGTGAGGTGATTCTTGACACCCAAGATCACCAGGAAAGGTCCCTATCCTTGGGAAGATTTTAAGGAGGTTGTGTTTGGAGGACTTGAGATGACCTTGAATTGTCCTCATTCTTCCTCCCAAACCCTGGGCTGTTGTAGATCAGGTTTGCAACTCCAGTGACTTCAGGAGCCGGACAGGTAACAATCATGAGCAAGAAGCAGGCATAGGACTATAGGAAATGGTGTGTCAAGTGAAAGAGCTCAAGCCAGAACTAGAGATGTTCAAAATCAGATGAAAACTAACACCCTCCACATGCACTAAACAAGTGCTCAAGCTAAGTTGGCTGGCTTGGTCTTTAGTTTTTGTCTTTGGGACCTATGCTGAATAAGACTTGAGGCAAGAACAACAGGGCATTTCTGTGTCCCACATTTTACCCGAAGGAGGAAAAGGAAAAGGCAAACACATCAGTGGGAGGGGCAACATTTCCCAAAAGAAAAGAGATTTAAAGCATGAAGGTGTGAAGAAATAGGAAGTGACATCTATCTATCTATCTATCTATCTATCTATCTATCTATCTATCTACCTACCTACCTACCTACCTACCTACCTATTTATAGCAGACAACAGGTGATCAGGAAGCTGGGATATGTCTTTACTCTCCTCCCCTAAAACAAAGGGGAGACATTTTGATGCATGGGGGCCTGATCTATCCACGGCACCCTGTGGGGTGTCACTGTGGGGACTAGTGGATGGTCTGGTTAAAGGTGGTGATCTACTTCCACTGATCCTGGAGGAGGAGGGGCATGGTCTGAGCTCTGTCTGGATGCAGTCCTTGGAAGCTGAGGGGGATACAGGAAGAAACAGCTGCCAGGAGTGTCAAAGAAACAAATTTTCTTTCCAAAAAAAATCCTAGAGCAAGCATCCCAAAGTGTGTCAGATAATTCAGTTACATGGATCTGTCTGTCAGAAGCCGTCATCTCCTTGCAAAGGAAAAAAGTTATTCCTTCTCAATTCCCCTTTCATCCTTCTGATTATATCAAAGAAGAGATTTCTGCTCGTGCTAGTCTGTCTCAACACTTCAGTAACACTTGCTAATCAGCTTCAACCTCAGTGCCTTTTGCAGGCACTAGTAGCTGGAATCTGATGATGTTATTTTCTTTTCATTTTATTTAGGTGGGGCGGGGGCAGTTACTATTGATTTATGGCAAGATGGTGAGATATTGGCTTTTCCAGGGGTGGTAGTGATTTGAAGTGTCCTTTTAAATTTTTAAAAAATATTTTTTAGTTATACATTGACCCAATATCTTTATTTTGTTTATTTATTTTTATGTGGTGCTGAGGATTGAACCCAGTGCCCCACATATGTGAGGCAAGCGCTCTGCCACTGAGCCACAACCCCAGCCCCCTTTTATATTTTAAGTAAATTATTGAGTGCTACATAAAGGCATAGTGGTAGTGGTGGTTGGAAAATATGGCAATGACTAAAAGCATGGCAGAGAAATAAGTGAGGTGGTGGAATGTGACCCTTGAAGTAGGTAAAGTTGCTGGTGGGGTTTCATTCTTCTTTTGAGGATAGAAGCAAGGACCATCACAGGAGAACACATCACTATATTCCAGGACAGCACCTGGCTAAATCCAACTCTGGGTCCCCTGCCTTCAAGATTCAACTCATACCACTTCTTTGGGGATGTCCTCCGGGATGCCTGACTCGGGTCATCTCTCTTCTTTCTTTTCCTTTCTTTCTCTCTCTCTTAATACTGGGGATTAAATGCAGGGATACTCTCCCAATCAACTACATCCCCATCCCTTATTATTTTTTAATCAGAGGCAGTTCCCTCTAAATTGTCCAGGCTGGCCTGGAACTTGCAATCCTCCTGCCTTAAAAAATATGGGTTGAGTCATCTCTCTTCTGATACACAGGGATTCCAGCTCCAACTTTGCCTGGAACCAGCTGGGTCATTAGAGGTCACAAGAGCCATGCCTATGGGGTAGGAGTATCAGGGGAGGGGATCTTCAACAAACTGCAGGATAAGTGCCCTATTTAATGGTGGCTAAGCAAAAATGTGGGCCCAGTGTGTGGCCACACCTTGCAATTTCTCAAGAAAAGTTAGAAATCTAAATTTTTATGTGACATCTCACCATTTTTTTAAATGTTGACAACAAATGTCTGCTGTGCCTCAGGGTCAGATCTAGCTTCAGGCATCCTCAGGTGGAAGAGAGAGAGAGAGAGAGAGAGAGAGAGAGAGAGAGAGAGAGAGAAGCTTCTAGGTGAAGAGGGCTATTAAGCTGCAGTGCTCTCACATCTAGGTCCCAGAAATGACAGAACCAAGGGTACCAAATCACAACAACAGCCAGTTGTGCAAGTCGTGTTTCCCCACGAGACTGGGTCCTCCTGGGGCTGGGGTTGTGGCTCAGTGGTAGATCGTACGCCTAGCATGTGCGAGGCCCTGGGTTCGATCCTCAGTGTCACATAAAAATAAATAAATAAATAAAAAAACAAATAAATAAATAAGTTGTGTTCAACTACAACTAAAAAATAAATATTAAAAAAAAAAAAAGATTGGGTCCTCCTGGCCAGCAGGGAGGGTATTGAATCACCTGTATGTCCTCTGCCTCTGGCCAAGGCCAAGGTCAAAACCCTGGTCACACAGGGCTGGGGCAGGTTGAATGAGAAGCTGGAATGGACAGGTGTCTACTGTCTGGGAAAATGAAGCAGAAGTCGGGGATCACATTGCCCAGATATTCCACCAGACACATTCCTGAGGAGAGTATCAAGGAACAACTTGGGGAGGTGTCACTATGCAGAGGGATAGCAGTTCTGATAGGATAGTGATTCTAGTAAATGGGAACACCAGGACCTTGCTGGAGAGGAGGGATTCCAGTTGGCAAAAGGCGCTGACAGCAAACTTGCCCAGGATGAACTGAGACGCCCTTGGATGCTCATCTGGAAAGGTGGGCAGAATGCTGACAGGCCATTTCAGGAGGGGGCTGGGGAATACACAGACCCAATGGGGACAGTTAAGGGTAGAAACCTGTGCTCTAGGAGGGAAGGCCAAGTCTGACAGGAAGAAGCTGTGATCAGAAGTTGCAATAGAGGGATGGAAAGACCAATGGAAGGCGAAGGGACAGAAAGGAGGTGCGGACTGCGGGAACCTTGTCTTTCACAGTAAGGGCAAAAGTTGATATTTGGGGGATCTTGGGGCCTCGATCTGGGCATCAGGCCTGACTCAGTCCCCTGGACCCCGTAATCAGCATCCCTTCCTCTTCTATTCCCGTGTCCCGTCCTGCCCTGGGTTCCAGAAAGGTGAAACGGCCCCTTGAGTCTCAGGGCTGGCTGGTGGAATCCAGGCGCCCCGAGGGCTCCCTAGGTGGATGCTCTGCCCATGCCACTCCTCCGAGGTGGTGCGCCGCTAGGGCGTGGGGCGCGCAGAGGGTGGCCGGCGGCAGGGCTAC